CTGTATGTGTATGAAGGCACCTGTAGGCTGTAGTTTATTTTCTCAGCTAATGCACCTTTTTCGCACTTTTGCAGCATGCATAGATAATCAGTAAAACTCCTGAAAATGCTTAGATACCGTTTGATTGTTCATATGCGTGTTTGGACTGAAAGAGAATATTCAGCAGTGTTGTATTCGAGTCCATCACACAAGTCCCTGCACCTCCCTGTAAGTCCATCACACAAGTCCCTGCACCTCCCTGTAAGTCCATCACAAGTCCATCACAGGTCATTCAGTCTTAAGCCAATTCACAAGCTATTCACATGAGCTGTGACAAAAGCATTCTTTTGTCATTGTTTTATCCTAATACTTGTGACTGGCCTCGTGATGGACTCGAACACAACACTGATATTCAGAAAAGATTATCACCAAAGAATATTGTTAGTTCATGCTTTTGGTTGACTTGGTTTTTAAAGCACTTTGATGTACATGCATATTGCTGATTGCTAGTTTACACACTTGAGAAATTCTCTTTTTTTTGCAGACTCCGTTGGATGACAGAGCGCCACACTATTTCTGTATCCTTTCAATTTTGGATTGTTTCTGTGGGAATTAAAATTTTGAAACATTTGAAGATGGTAATCTTTAGTTAAAAGTTGATAAAATTTTCTAAGGGTGTGTCCTTAAAAATAAATGGTTGAATCTCTGTAAGATGAAGAATTTTATTGGGGGAGGGGGTTGTTGGGAGGGGGGTCACTAGTTTACAAACTGCTAGGCTCAATTTTTCTTTGGGTACCTTTTCAAAATGCTTGTATCTATCTTTCAAAACCACACCTTAACCCCAACAACTTCAGTTGTGGATAACTTGGAGACCACCGAGATCATTGTGAGCTTCTCCGCCTTGTCTCGGTGGTTTGACCCTCCACTGGAGCCCCCAAAGACCTCCCACAGCTCCACCCGAGAGAAGGACAAACACAAGGATGCGGAGTCAGTGGCTGGATCGAGCAGTGTAGCAGATGGCGTTGGTAAGACCTCAGAGACAGTGTCCGTCATGTATTTATCCCAGCACAGTGAGCATAACCAGGGGTCAATTCTTGATCAGGTTGTACTTTAAACTCCATATAAGTCTTACTGGCTGCAGTCAGTTCCCATAGAGTTGTGTGGAATATCAAGCTGCATCCAAGTGATTTGGAGAGTGGCCTATGATTGAATGCATATTAGAAGTCCTGATTTCATGGAACTGTCAATAGGTTAGCAGCGTAAATGTCACACAGTGTATATTCCTTGTGACTAGTTCCCAGCTAATTGCTGCTAAGCTTATAAATTTGCTAAGTGGTATTTTTTTGCTAAGCAGGTCTATAAAACTTAGCCCAGTTGACAGTAGTTACACAAATCAACTGTCAGTAGCCATTTCACAGTGTTTGACGCTACTTGCTATCCAGGTTATTGTAATGTACAGCAAAGACCAAACTCATGAGCATTCACGGTAGTCTGTGTTGGTTGATTGGCTATCTGCCTTGAGCAGAAGTACCCCCTCATTGGTTGAAAAAGCCCTGTTGGTCGGGAGTGTTCAATTTGTTGGTAGCAATGCGAACATGATGCCCACATTCCTAGTCATTTGTGAACCAGCGAAGTTTATTTCCTACCGAAGGAGCCTCCATTGCTTAGTAAGCTTGAGGCCCATGGGTCACTTGTGTATATTGCCATGTAGGGGCAAGGTTTGCCATGATTCAACCACTGGTTGGAACAGTGATCTGGAGTTCATAGGTTCGAATCCTGTTGAAGTCAATTTGTTGGCTCAACTGATCGTTCATTCATTTCAAATGGCAAACTCAAATGTTCAATTCAAACTCCTGTGCCTGTAGCTGTGACAAAGGAACCTGCCACACCCAACGTTCCTGGTCTCTTGGTGGCCGAGCCATATTCCTGGAAGAGCCTGGTTGTAGGTCAGCCAATCCTACGCATCCGTACCACCTCCACCAAAGCTGCTGCCCTCACGCTGCCCCCTGGCAGGCACGTCCTGCGTTTCACCATGAGCGCTCCCCTGGGTTACCATGTCCACCTGTGCTCGACTGTACCGTTCGTTTATGGAGATGAGGAAACTGTGATGACCCATCTAGTCAAGGTAGTGGATGATTTTCCAATATTTCTTCCAACTTGGCATTCCAACACCATTATTATGCTGACCTGTGTAGGCACGTTGAAAAGATGCCTTTAATAAGTAAAAAAAAAATGTGACTTTGCGTTCATTGCATCTTAATTTTTGTGTCAAAATGTGATGCTTTGAGAGGAATTGATGCTGGAGACTTAAAAGATTCAATATATTTAGTTTGACAGAACCTCAAATTTCAATTCAATCCTGGATCCATTAAGCATGCTGGTTTCACCAATCCATTTTTGTCTTGATTAGGAAAGCTGTCGTTTTGTGGACCATGCCAACCAGTTGATGAGAGCCATCGGTAACGTCATTCAACAGATGGATAATGCAGAAGCACTGAAGGAAACCATGACGACCATGAACAACCTTCACTGCCCTGTCTGGAAGGACAGGCTGTCTGTCCTCCACAACTTTGATGTAAGCGCTTGGGGCTTTCGTAGAAACATGTCATCAGTGGGAAAGTCTGGAAATGTAGGGAAAAAATATTAAAAACCTGTAATGAAGTCGAAAGTCTCTCAGCCAAACTGAGGAAATGAAAATACCCAACCCCCCCCCAAAAAAGGCCTGGATATTATGGAAGAAATCTTGCTAAGTCTCAAATCCTGCAGGCATCATGTTGATACTTGGTAAACTTTGCGAGTTCAAAACAAACAAAAAATCACCTCCAGAATAATTACTGGAGAACATGAAAATGTTTTTCCCCAACAGGTTTTTGGAGAAGCCATATTTCTGACCCTGCGCAAGGCCTTCGGGGAGAATTTCTCCACTGAGGTGGCTTATGCCTGGAAAGTCTTCACACTGGATGTCAACTCCAAGACAATATCTGGCATCAGCTATGCCGGCAGTAGACCAGGTGAGAAATAACCGGAATATAGGAAGTCTATCAGGGTTATGCAGGGTTAATAGAGGGCAGTATTTAATGTTTTGTGTCGATGGGAAGAGGCTTATGCAATAGGTATCATTTAGCAGGGCTTTTAAAATAGACATTTCAATTTGAATGTTTGAGTCAGAACAAATCAAGATTAATATTTCCTTATAGATGACAAAACTCTAGAACATCAGAGCAAGCGTGAAAAATCATGCAAAATGAAAGACATGATTGTCGAGGTACATTCAGTAGTTCAGATGGATCAGAACAGCCACAACCTCAATGCAACTGGAGAAACTTGTAGACTGCATTTGACATGGTAATTTATGGTAATTTCAGGAGCCACCGGGTTGGTTACAGAAAGCAGGCCAGGTATAGTGTGTGTCGTGATTGGTTGATGCAGTGAAATTCATGAATATTCAAATATTCAGTTTTGGTTAGTTATGGAAAGTGCAGTGAATTTTTCTGATAAATATTCAAATATTTATATTTTGTTAGTTGCACTTGATCAAGTGTTTGAAGTATAGCTTCTGTGCAAAGTTGAAAGGTATTGCATAAAATAAGATATACTTTCTAAATGCTGCAAATCATATTTATTTAAAAGTTTTTGTGGCATCCACAGGTATTTTCCCAATTAAAAGACTTTTGAACAAAAGTAACGAAAGATTACAGCAAAATTAAAAGACTGGGTTCAACTCTGCTTAATTAGTGTGACACAAAAGTTTCAGATATTGCAGTTACACATTGTTCTGCCGATGTTTACCTACGTGTTTAAACAAAGGCTTTCTTGACAACTATCTCCAATGCCTACAACGTGTGACTTTCTTTCTCTCCTACCATTTCCCATTGACACCTGTTTCAACTATACGCACGCCATATTGTATTCCCTAGGCACACTCCCTGGACAATTCACTATTGATAATTGCTTGTTTCTACCGCCCCCTCAATAATTTATCCCCTCCTCCCCCTTAATTTGTATGCTCCGCCCACTGTAGATGAAGTTGCTGCACATGAGACCACAGGTACTAATAATGTAGCATGTCGCGTGCGTGTGACATTTTTTTCTTTTTCAAGGATGCTTTTTTGTGTCCAGTACATCTCCTGTATTGATTCTCCATCCTTTCCAATTTCTGTCAACAAGATTGTCTTTGTGATCTTAGCTTGGTGTTGGTCAACTTTTTGGTTTGAGGGATTGCGGTAAACATGGTGTTGAGACTATTTAAATTACAGGCTTTGGGCTCGGTGCACCTTGATTAAAAAACCATGTCAGAAATGACTTTGGCTATGGCTAGAAAAAACACACCTGCCTGTGGAGGCCATTGGCTAATGGCTGCAGCCACTTCCCATAGACATGTGCGTTTCTCCAAGCCATAGTTAGCAGATTCAGACCTAGCCAATGACATTCGAAAATCGGCAAAGCGCCAACATTGGGGCAGCTATATACATTGGTACAGCGTCCGTGTTGAGGGTCTGGTGATGGTAGGTGCCAATTCCGCTCCAGTCAGTTTCAGACAAAAATTAGACGTAGATTAGAAAACATCTCTGTTCTTCGTCTACTACACCTTTTTTCCCATATATTTTGTAGAAATTGATCAAAATAATTCAGTGAGAAAGTATTTTTGGTAAAAATATTTATGTCCTTTGAGATATGTGTAGTCAGATGCATGCTCATTTATAACACTCTCTGGTTTTTATTTTGTTGTTTGGATTTTTTAGGATGATTTATTTTGATTTGGCATGAATAGTCTTGTCACCTCACTCAATCACACTTCCATGCTTGATTTGAAGTCAGTTTTTCCCACGTTTTGTTTGCATGTTTTGTCAAGGATTCCTGTTAACCAATTTTGGCATTCATCATCTCTGCATGTTTTTTTCAGGCACATACTAATGATTATGGGGGACAATAAAAGCTTGAGGAAGCATTGTTCACTCTTACAATTGAAAAGCTTCCTGAAAAAATTGTCAGTCTAGAGTCAATCAGTTCTACTGTTCTGTAAAATTACATTTCAGAAACTTCATCACAATATCCTTTTCTTTAAAGTGAAATTAATATGAATTCACTGCAGATGGTCTTTCTAAAGCTTTCTGAATGTTTTTAAGGCGGGAAAATTAGGTCCAGGTTGGAAGAGAAAAGTCCTGTCTGATTTCACACTAACATCAGTCTGTTATTCTCTCGTTAAATTTCAACCGACGTAAATTTGCTTTCAGCTACCGCCGCTTCCAGAAAGTCTGCCAAACTCAAGAAACGTAAGTCCGCATTGTAGGGTCGATACTCATCAAAGCATTTGCCTCTTGCTGAATGCATTGTCTGTGATCAAGTATATCAATATAAGCTGCCGTATATGCGTCTCTAATCACTTGCTACTGTTGACCCCTCTTGTAGAGTCTGTGCCTAGTTTCAAGGGCTGTTACCACCTGTAGCATAGATGGGTCCGCACTGAAGTTGGGATAGGGTGAAGTTTAATGCTGTCATGCAGAGAATACAGGCGATTCACAGAAGTGTGCCTCCAAGAGTTTGTAACGCATTGGCTAATCACAACATGTGAAATCTCTCGACCCTGTCCAAACGTGCATCGGGTCAACAGATTTTGCGCACTGTGATTGGCCAATGCGTTGCACATTCTTGGAAATGCACTATTGTGAATGGACCGTAGTGACCAGAATTATTTTGATTGTTGGCTTTTTGCATGCATTTGCTCTCAAGGAGCTCTTAAGATTCGAAATTACAAAAAATAAAGTTCATGCCATAGGTTGTGCATTGTCTGTTAAAAAATTGACCCTGCATATTACAAGGTTTATAGTAGGAATAAATTCAGTTCTTCCATCTCATCATTGATGTGTAAGAAATGCCTTTTGGATCCCAAGTGGGCTGCATGGCGCCCCCAATAGTTATAGCATGCAGCAGTTAATAGTGAACTATTAGTATAGGCATAGCATCACAAGAAGTGGGTAATATACAAACATAGCATTAATATCACTTTTGAAGTACATACCAAGGTTATCAAACAAACTTGTTTGTTTCCATTACTTTTTCATTTCTCATGGTAGAGTGTGTTGTTAACCCTCCATTGCAATCCGTTGGCTTGAAGCTTCCTTCTTGTTAACCTGCAGATTTAGAGGATTTATCTCTGCGGTGTGGGCATCCCTTAACAATTTTTTTTTTAAAGTTGTGGCCTGCAAAAACTTGTGTAAAAATAAGTCGCATCAGTTCCCTGGCAAGGATGTTGCAGTTTTTCCTTAAAAACTTCAAACCATCAAACTAACAAGACTTGATACTTTTCTTTCCATATTTTGCCTGAATAATGTTATTCTAAACCTTTTTTCGATATTAACCTCATGTAGCATACAGTTACAGTTTATAGATAATAACATCAGCAGGATCATTTGTGTCTCATAATAATTAGGCATTTATTCGTCCCCAAGTGTAAACAGGGTACTTCAAGTTTCCCTTCAGTACATTTCCCGTCAGTGTCCCTTGTTCTTTCTTATTTGCAGCTTTTTTTCAGCATAGCCCTGTTAACAAATACCCAAATAGAATTAATTGCCTTTTCTTTTACCTTCTGTCCAGCATCTGATTATGATTTTATGATCTCAGTCAGGTTTTTGGAGGGAGTTTTATGTTATGAGTGAAATTATTTAATATTTTGTGTCAATCTGTTTTTTTTGCAGGTGAAGTGCCAGAAACATGGCAGAACAGGTGAGCCATTTTATCATGAAAAAACATTTCAGACATCACCTTTACACTCTTCGGGGGAGTGGACTTGACTAGATAATATCGAGGTGGGGGGGGGTTTGGGAATTATATCCCAGCTATCTGTCCTCCAGAACTTCCATACAGTGTGGCTATAACTGACATCGTTGCTTGATCCTTACAGAGAACCCACTGAGGATGAGATGGACGCAGTCACTATCATTGCTAAGCATTGGAGGGGGTACTTTATCCGTAAGATACGAGCCTCAAGAATGCCAGGTGAGACAAGAGCTGTGCTGCAACTTGATTGCTTCTATACTTTCCTTTAGAAAAGTAAATTAATAAGAGAATTTGTGGCTGTTGAGTTAGAGTATAACTTTTGAAGTTGTTCTATGATTAAAGTGAAAGATGTTTCAATGTGGAATTGAAAATGGATATGAACGATTCATCAACAATATTTCAGATATGTTTCTGTGCAACATTTCTTGATAAGTAATGGATTAACTTGAATGTATTCAATAATTTTATCCATTTATTCTCCAATCAATCAATAACACTGGCGATCATTCAATCGTTCAGGGTCTGATGAGAACCTACAAGCCAAGGAACAGCTGTTAAAAGTCTGGACAACCTTGGAGGCCAACTTGGAACAATATGCATTGCATCTCTTCAGGTAATTCAAGCACTGGTATTTAAAGCCATTTAAATTCTGATAGCCGTGGTTCTGACCTGCAGAGGGCGCTCTAACAAGTAAAAAATTTACACCATACCTGCGTGTTGTCTGTTTTCTCGCCAGGACCATGTTCAAAATTGACCCTGAAATGATGCCAGATTTCCCCTTCTACCAGGACGAATGGAACCGCATATCTTACGTGGATTTCCAAGGCACCTACCAGGAACAACCCGCCAACTCCTGGTTTGTTGTCTTCAGGTGGGTACCTACTTGGCTGCACAGTTTTTGCGAACCAGGAAGAAAATTGAGATTTACAAATTGACTGTGTAATACTCAAATACAAAAAGATTTTGAACCTTAAAATTTTGAAGGCAGTCACGTATCTGTATTCTTCTTGCCTTGGCTGGGATGTGTGGGTTGGTCATCTGAAAAGTCCGTGTTGACACAATGTGCAAATTGATAGTTACAGCAATCACATATCAATAATTGTTATAGTTTCCTATCATTTCTTTACAGGGATGTGTTTTATGTACAGGAACCAATGTTGGTTGTTCCAAAACTTTATGTGTCTATTCCAACCTGCATGCTGAGAGTCATTGATAACGATACTGGTGAAGAAATTCCAAGGGTCTTCCAGCGTGTGGCGCCATATGAATACAAACATAACAAGGTGAGCTCTGTTGCCCTAGATATTCCTCAAAATCTGCAATACTGCTCTATCATTACTGCGGATTGGCCGTAGATCTCAAACTATTCAAATGCTAGAAATTTATCCCTCACCTTTTTCTCCGATTTCAGAGAGGATACACTTTTGTGGCGGAGGCCCGCACCATTGACCTGCCACTCCCCAGTGGGAAGTGGAGAATGCGCCTGATTGGTTCATCTAACCCACTACCCCAGCCCAGCCGGGATCATCTCAACAGCAACTTCATCGTCCGGGAGATCAGGGATTATTACATCCCTAACAAAGAGGACATTATCATGAGGTAAGTGTCAAGGAAATGGCTCTTTAGAAGAATGATCACATGCAGATTTGGAATTGTTTTGGTGCTGTACCCGTAGGGACCGTTGATCACATGCAAAACTCAACCCAACTTCAGCCAATCAAGCCCAAAACTTAAGCCAACCAGGCCACCCTGATTTTTGGAGCTTTACTTTAGTAGGTTTGGACCCACAACTAGCTACTAGTGATCCCTCTTAAATCAAGAGTTGAGGGCAGGATTTTTGACTGTATAAACAAATCCACTGACATTTCACTGGACAATCTTTGAGTTGTGGCAAGCATTGTATTTGGCTTTATATGGAGTGACTGCTATGGAACAGTGGTTCTGCACAATAGCTGTCACAATGCTGACTGCCATTAAAGGGGGCCACCAAACTAGTGTTGGTATTACCATAGTCATAAGAATTGTCCACACCTGATCAGAAAATTGAAAAGGTGGGCATCCTTCATCAGATGCTGATGAGTAGCCTCAGTGACGTCTTCATTTTCCAGCTGGAGTTTGTAGTGGACTTGTTCAGGATCACTGAAGCACCAACACCGTGCCTGGCTTTAACTGTTTTCCACAGGTACGTTGTCAAGCCGCAGGAGGACCACGTGGCTAGCATCCAGTTCAGCACATCCAAGCCTGATGTCTACGTCAGCTTGCAAGTTTTGGATCATGAGGAGGAGATGGTCCACACCACGGGCAAAGGGCACGCCGTCATCCCTGCCTTCACCTTCCATCGTGACAAAGAGCCGGGAGAGGAGGAAGAGAGGCGATCTGGGAGTAGAGTCTGTAAGTCTCTCACCTGTTGGGGTCAGAGAATGGTACCATCATTTCTGGAAGTGAAACCAATTAGACACCAGGGATGGTAATGAAGAACTACTTGGTTTTTAGAGTTGGGAGGTCGTAAACTGGGATTGCCAGAAACAAATGACAGAGAGGATATCTTCCCATCTCTCATTGAGGCATTTTGTTGAAGAAACTAAGGGTGTCATTTTATTTTCTGACATCAGTTTTTCACTCCTTCCTATAGATGCTAATGATAATCTTTAACGTCCGTGTTTTTCACAGCTGTCCTTGGTCGAGGGACCAAGCCTCATCACGGTAGCTCTTCCAGTCTCAATTCCACCAGGAAACGTCAGCCCTCAGCCAGCAGCCATGATGGCCGAGCTTCGGTGAGTCATTACCCCAGGGGTTGGTTTCTCAAGATTTGCTGAGTTTCAAGAATTTCGACCCCCAACTTGGAAAGTTTTAGTGCCGTCAGATTTTGCTTCTTTTTTGCAATGTGTACAGAAAAGCCCCCAGAGTGCAAGATTGACACAATTGTAACAATTTGAGATTGAAAAATTCCTGACCAGCTATAAAAAGCCACAATTCCTCTTTTGGACTTTTTCTTGGATTTCTCTTCATCCAAAATTAACTCACTCCTTATTACCCGTCTGCACTGAAGAAATTTCCTCTCCCTCAAAAAGAAAGCAGTGATCTCTTTTGAAGCTGTAGTAGTATTCTTTCTTTGAATCTAACAGCTCCTTTTAATTTTTTTTGGCAGAGAGCTAGTAGAGGATCAGCTGATAGATTTGAGGACGGAGGTGATGAGGCAGAGTTCAGGGTAAGTAGCTAGCAATTTAGCCATGCAACTTTGCCTCAGATTGGCTTGTTTTCCGCTTCACACTAATGCCATTGAAAGTACAAAAACATTGTACAAAGTCTTGTAAAGATTGGAATTTCCTCTTTTTTCGTCAAAGTCCGAGTTGCATGCCTGGAGTTGTTTTAAACTTCTTTTTTCTGTCGCAGTCACCTCTAGTTAGTGTGCATCCATCATGAAATACTTTCTTGAATCTAAGGACTTGATTCCTTTCCTTGTCAGAAGCTTTGCTGCATTAAGAGGTCTTGAATGTTATGTCTTTTTCATTCTCAAACATGAACGTTAAATTTCAGGAATTTTGAGTAGACTTGAATGTTGATAATTTTGTCATCCCCAGCCTCATAAGTACATCATCCAGGCTAAAGTACTGCGTAAGAGCTGGCCACTGTCTGAGAGTAGCTGGGCATTTGTACAGGTGCTGAAGGAACTGGAGAAAAATGATCTGAAAGGTAAGAGTAAATCTCCTGTCTCATATTTCCAATTCAAAACTTAAGTCTATCAAGACATGATCGTGATAACCCGCCATTTATTTTAATTAGGAGATACATTCTTTATGCGATATAACTTGACTTGCTTGTTTAGGGATGCGCTCTTAATAGAAATGGATATTTTAACTTGGCTGTGCATGCAAAATACATGTGGAAATTTGATGAATTGATCTAACAGGTGCCTGAAGTCACCGATTACCTCCTGTGCTAACTCTATGCAAGGCATCAGAATTAATGTCCTCACCATTCCAAATTGACAGACTTCAAACTCATTTAACCTGTCCGTTTGGTATCTGTCGGTGTGAAAGGAGAGATACTGAGAGCTTAACTCCAACAAGAAGTGTTTGAGTAAAACATTAGCGAGACATTGTCCGAAGGAATAGATTATGAGTCTGTTTTGTATCTCTGCTTACTGTATTTCTAAACAACTTACCTCAAATAACAAAATTTTGATTGAACTGGAGACGATGTATGTCGAGAGTGCATAAGATAAACCTTTCAGTTGTATTCCCCTTTGCACATTGCTCTGTTGTCCTTTGATGCATGTTTCTAATAACTCTGGCTTTCTTTTTGTCCAAATCTAACAAGTGATCTTACTTCATTTGAAGGGGGCACCCCAACAATATTTTGTGTCAATCTATATTTGCATAACCTTGAAGTAGTGACAGAGAAAATTTGACAGAATTACCCACCATGCCCCAGCTCTGATATCCATGAAAGTCTTCTGTTGACCTTTAAATGTTTAACGTTCTGGTCTTGGCTTCCCACTCTGAAATTAAACAGCACCCTCCATTGTTAATTAGAATGTGATTTCTTCCTTTTGTGCCCATTTGCTCAATCTGGAGATTTAATGCACCTTTGTAAGCTACACTCTATTCACTCTAAACAGAGGTCATGATGACCCTTACACTCTGGAATTCTGAGACCTTGGCTCAAATTTGACCAGCCTCTGCCGCCTTATCTCAATCAAGAGCAACCTTCCTTTCCTGCCCCCCTTCAGTCAATTTTCAAATTACATTAACCTCTTTCTGCCCCTCCGTTTAATACCTATACATGGCAACCAGCTTACGCAACAACCTTCTCAACGTCCACCGCGTTATTCAGGGATTATCGCATGGGGGAAGACCTCGAGATGGACGTGACATCAGACATGATCACTGACCGACCACAGAAGAGCAAACGAGGCAAATAACCCCAAACAGTTCAAACAGAAATAATTGTACTCCTTCTCCAGCCATTGGAATTCATTGTCAAAGAGCTGTGGACATGCCAATGGTGGCTTAATCTTTTCTTGACAAAATGTCAGAGTTTTTTAAATGGAAAAATGAAAGAATTTCAATATTCAAATGAATTTAGTGAATAAAGGTACCTGCAGCATTCCAGTTTTTGAAATTTTAAAATGGCAGCCTTTGTGTTTGACATTTAATCAAAATGTTTATTCAGAAAGAAAGTACATGTACATCTTTATCATTTGCTCATTTGAGTTATAAAACGGGATGACAAATGCAGAAGAGTTTTGCCTGAAGAATTTCTTCACTGGTAGATTTCATTGAGCAATTGTATACGGAAGATGAGGATGCCATTGGTTTGTGCACAAATTATGGAGGTTCTCTGACAGCCTGTAGATCAACAACACCCTCAGTGGTATGACCTCCAGGGTATCACTCAGGCAGGGGCACAGCTGATGGTAGTCTGGGTACCATACTGTTTTTGGTTTCCTGGATAGACACACAGCAGCTGATTAGACCTACACAGTCTGGTGTTCAGGCTAACACTTGATTGTTGGCTCCTCAGCCATACCCTGAATGTCATACTATCTTGAGATGATTCACAATAGCCAAACTAACGCACATTCTGCTGACTAACACACATTTGCACATCCTGTTAACAACAAAAATTACACCAAATTATTTCCCTTTTTTAACTTGAGACTGAAAAACATTTGCAAACTCAACAAATATGTATTAATTCAGTCACCTTTCTCACTTCTGTTCACACTGTCACCATTTCTCACCGTTAACAGTGCACCTGCAGGCAACTGACACTATCTTTTAATGTTCAAAGATCTTGTGCTTTTCAGTTTCTTCACTTTTAGATTCACAGCTTTATCTGCAGTAGTACCCAGCAGACAGTGGCTCCTTGCTTGGTTTTCTTTTATCAGCAATAGCTGTTTTTCTGGTTCTGTTCCGTAGCTGTTTTTAGGTTTAAGTGGTTTTCTTTTCTAGTACAAAGAGTCCCTTGTTAATGCAAAAGTGTGTTGGAAGTATTTGGCCTTACCAAATGTATAAATTGATAATATTGATAATAATTTTTGATTTTATTCTCCGCTTGAATGCTACCTTTTTTCAAAGTTCTGACACCAGATGGCAAACTGGGTATTGTAACGACTTTATTTATTCGCATGCCATTAGACAGTTTGTAGTGTACTCGATTAAAAACCCTTGTGCGCAAGTATTAAAAGATTTGATGCCATCTACATCTACATGTGCCTGTCCTAGATGCATGCATGAAACCACTCGAGTCAGTGTAGCCTGCTTCATGGAAGTAATTACGTGTTCCTTGCAAAATTCTGCTTGTCATACATTGCATCAGTGTGTGCATGATTTCGCTGTGATCTGATGTCCGTTCTCTGTTGTGAACTGCAAACGATTACGCAGTGCATGATGGTAGTCATATAGAGCATAGCAAAATAATTGCTCTTTTTTTGTCTGGTTACATCGCTGCATTGTTGCTTGGTTTCTTTTTTTCCCAGTTTTTTCTTTTTCATAAAAATGAGTGTTCAGGTATGTCTAGAGTTTTGGTATTAACTCGGAAATTTTGGTCAACAATATTCAAAGCAAGTAGTGTTTATGGATTAGATGAACCTTTTGAGTTCATCTTGCCATTAATACATCAGTTTCCATCCGTATTAAACAAAATAATGGACAAATTTTCTGTGATGACTGAAATGAAAATACCTGCACCTAGTTACTAGTCATAAAAATAGGATTCCATTTATCCGGCAATTAAAAATAACCTAAGAAACAGTGACTGATATTTCCATCCCTGATTCTGCCACATGCGAATGAATTTTTAATTCTGGCCAATTTCGGCAGCAAATATTGGCTGAGTGCATATTACAGCAGCAGCTGTTCTCACGGGCTGAGTGTACTCCGTTGTTTTATCGTGGCTTTTGTATGCTACACGTTACAGAGCCATTGGTCTCAAGATCCTTGAGTTGACAAAGCCGGTCTGTTTGACTATTCTTTCATTCTCCGTTTGGTCCCCGGAAAAAAAAATCTTGCCCTTGCAAGACTTTCTTTTGGTTTTTTCAGCTGATTTGTCCAAAGAGAACAGCAGTGAGAGCTGGCTTGGCATGAGACAAATTGTTTGCTCAGTACGGACCGTCTGTTTACCAGAAAATGGTTCCATTTTCATATGTTAGGGTGCTTCTGAAGTGTAAGTCATCCAGCGTTTTATTCCATAAAGCCAAATACTTTATGAGTTTCAGGATTTAATTTTGCCACTCTCCTTTTTTTAAAATAAAACCAAAGCTTTGGAGAGGTTTTGTCAGGAAACCTTCAGGATTGCGTAGGACTCGAGTACCCAGTGTAAACTTGCCACTGACGCAAGTTTATGAATAATTTCTCTTAGTCAATCATTTGCGCACCGTAGCTGTGCATAATTGATGTCTTGTATGATAGTTGAAAGCTGTTTTAATTTTTAATTTTAACACCGCACGATGTAACTTAAAACCAGAAAAACCATTGTTTTAACCACTGTCAGCATACAGAGTTGCTCGTTTGTTGGTTGACACGTTGGTCGCAACCTGAGGTCAGCATTGTTGGCTGAATTCACTTTCTGCCTTGTGTAAACTGTAATTTCTGTTCATTGTAACTGTTCAGCTGTGATATTTCTCAGCATTGACCCAGCATTTGTTGATTAATGACCAGGTTAAAATTGGGACAGGTTTAAAATACATGTATTTTCTGAGGAATTTGTTGTTGAAGTTTGGAAAAGCGTTATGACAAATTATGTACTTTTTCTTTTTTCAGTTAGCGGGTTATGCTCTAGGAAATGTTTTTGTGTTTCTTCCAGAAAGAAATAAATCACACTTAAAGATTGTGGATTCAAATTTAAATACGGGTGATTCACAATAGTGCATTTCCAAGAGCTTGCAACGCATTGGCCAATCACAATGCCTGAAATCTGTTGACCCTTCCAAACGTGCAAACTCTTGGGGGTGCACTCTTATGAAACGCCTGTATTAAGAATCACTTCCAATCAACTTCACCTCATGCATGTTTTCAGTAGCGTCACCATCATCTACAGATAGAGATTACAATATGCATTCCTGCAGCATTCTCTGTAGTTATATCCAGTCTTATAGCAGACATTTATAGTGGTGTAGAGTGGGTGGTTAACCCTTGCATCACATTCATGTAGTGGTTGGCGTCTAAAGTAGGAATCTTGCAGCAAGATTTAAACTTGGTTTTTCTGCAGTTTCTGATTCATTTATAATCACTGTATTTGATGAATCTAAAGTTTCAGCCAAAAGGAAATAAAAGGAATGAGACTTTTATGAGGCATCTTTGAAATTGTACAACCTCTTCATTTATTAAATTGAAAATATGCTATAATCAGCAAAATAAACTCAAGAATTTATCATCCAAAGGACAAAACAACTGCGCATTGCACTCAGTTGTCTTTGAACACATTTTCCTGCTTGGAATGCCAACATAAATTCTTGAGATGTGAATTACATCAGCAGAAGCCTACTGCATATACTTCTCTTGATCATGTAGCACCTCCTTCGCAACTTAGTAGCATTTTGGTTTTAGTGTCTTGGGCTAAACCTCTGATCTCGGTGAGAAGTCTGTCTTTGAGACAGTTTGTAGAATAGATTATTGCCAGTATGTATTCCTCAAGAGAGTTTAGATGAGTTAGCAGAATAGATACGGATTATTGTGATCCTGTAGTTTTTTCCACAATTGTTAAGTATGTTTCTATGTGTTGAAAATGGGATGCTGATTGTTACCCGTACATTTTACCGTGGATCAAAATCACGTCACTGCATTGTTACATATACATGTATCTGAGTAACAATCACGTCATTGACATTTTCATACAATAAAACCTTACAGCAGTCAGTTATGTACTGTATTTCACCACTGGTGCCCGCTGCTTTTGTCATCTTGTACTGCAAAGTGAAATCAGTGAAGTTCCAGTTCTGATAATTCATGAGTTGGTTAATCGGCTTTCCTGCATCTTTCAAGTAAATTTATTTTTTAAAATCTGAATGTCAAATGGAAGAAGTTCTTCAATGTGCTTCAGTGGTATTATGCTGTACTCGATGTATATCCAACATGACGAGTTGTTCGTTTTCTGCCATCCTGGCTGTCATACTCCACACAATCCCTCCTGAATATTCATGACTCTGTTTAATATTCCAGCCAATAAGGAGCGGCCTGCCTCTCCAGGCAAGGAGGGGGGTAAAGGTCCCGCCACTAAAGGGGAGAAGAAGGGCAAAGGCAAAGACAAAGGGAAGGACAAGGATAAAGATAAAGACAAAGGGAACACGTCTCGACCGCCGTCGCAGCAGTTTGACTTCACGAAGCCGAACTGGACACTACGGGTGGTACTGGATCAAACACCAACAGTAAGCAACTATAGACAGTTGTGGGCTTTCTTAGGCGAAATAAGACGCAGAAGGTTTCACCTGTCTGACTCTTCGATTTTTAATTCTATTTTGTTGGTGAAAGTCATAACTTTCTCGTAATGATCTTTTAGTCCCTGAATGGCTGTTGTGCATTTTTAAAAATCTGATGAAAAGGATTATTGAAGTCACATTTCTTCACAGCTGATGTGTGCCAGGAACTAATGCACCTTGCAGATACATTCATGATAACCCCAAGTGTGAGAACTCTTTCTGTGACATGTGCCAGACTTGATTGGATCAACTGTGATAGCTGTGTGAGATGTGGTTCCGTGATTGTCCTTATGGAGATTCATCCTGACTCTTTCTGTTTCTACTTCCCATCCTGTAGGAGGAGGTAGAGATCAAGCGAGACACGGAGCGACAGGATGAGATCCGTGCCATGAAGCAAGCCTGGGAGGCAGCCGAGCCGGGCCGGGCAGCCAAGGCCCAGGCTGCCAGGGAGAGATTCCTCAAGGAGCATCTCATCAAGGTGGAGATGGAAGAAGATGGAGAAGAGAAGACAGACCAGGAGGCAGAAGGTAGCTAACCAATCCTGACCAATGTCAACTCTTGTTTCTTCTTTTCCCATGTTGCCCACAGCTGTATTTTTCCAGCTTAGGATGCATAGATCAAATACACTTGATTCTTAAGATGGACATGAAGGCTTACTCTTGATTCTTGGATGTTTTTATGTAGCATATTTAAGTAAAAAATAAATAAGACTGCCAATGTTACAACATTGAATCATAATGATGTGTTTTATTTTGATGACATGCATCTACATGATAAATTAACAAAAAGAGGCTGTTATAAATTTTGGAAATATTTTTCTTACTTTTGAGGGCTGACAAGTTCATCTTTTGTACCAGGTTATACATATTCCCAAAGAATTGATGAAAACCTGAATTTGTTTTTCTTTTCTTCTTCTTTCCTTTTTTTTTAGTTGGGCCTCCTCAGACCCCAGCCTCAGAAAGTGAACACCCACCCTCAGAAGCTGTTCTAACAAATGAGCCTCCTCCCCCACCCCCACCTAAGGAAATCCTGCGGACGGTAGACCTCACACCTTACATCAGGTAAGAAAAACATTTACTGATACGTATACTATTTACCACACTTGTAAATTGCTGAAGACTAGATGAAGGTAACACAAATATTAAAAAATTATGTTTAACTTGAAAATGTGTTATAAATCTAAAACAGTTGTTGTCTTATTTGAAGAAATTCAGCAAATTAATTACTTTTTTTCCCAAATTTGTGGTTTTCATTAAAAAAAAAAGATGTAGTTCTAGGCCATTATTTTTTAATCTCATTTTGAGAGAGATGCCCTTGCAGTCTGTCCTCATCTAATTCACTTCAGTTTGTCAGGTTCGTTGTAACCATGAATCTGCATTGCATGTGTTCAGCAAACAGTTCAATCCAAACTCTTTATTAACATGTCATTTTCACCACCATGCATGGCGAGGATTTAATCTAGATGATGTATGTGTTGTGCCAGGGGGTTGATTTACCTGCACAAAGTGTGCCAGGCTTCAATTACCCTCGTTCAGAGCCTCTGCACTTTTTCAAGTGTTGCGCTGGCTGGCAAGGCATGGTGGAAAATAGGTGTTGTTTATCGTCGGTGTCACCAGCACCATTTTTTTTTATCTCAGTTTTGGCATTTGGTTTCACAACTGTCCTTATCAGATCCGGGCAGTGTATTGGTTTGTTATTTCTAATTTTTGCTTTGAACTTATAATTATCTCTGGACTTGTTTACAAATGTTTTTAATAACTTAAGGTTCTTAATATTATCAGATCTTGTGAAGCAAATATTAAGGACTTCCACATGCCTGCAGAATAGCTCATTTTGATCATTTTGTGATGCATTTGTATCACTCAGTTTGATTTGATATCCTTATGAAAACTTGTGTTACGTCTGTGGCAGCTCTGGTTTCCATCATTATTTATTTTTTTAAAAAGAACAGTACCACAGCTGTTGTAGCCTGCAGTCCATTTTCTTGGCTTATAGGCCAATTTTGAATGCGTAAATGCAATAAAAAAATCAGCTGTAATTTAAACATCTTGAAGTTTTGGGTGTGGCTGACAGTAACACGTGCATTTATTGGAAGTGGCTGCAGCAACCAATGGCCTCCATAGGTGTATGTGTTTCTGTAGGTGCTTCCATAGGTGCATGTGTTTCATTATGTGCTTCTGTTGTCATACATGTGTTTCCATAGGTGCCACCATGGGTGCTTTCATAGGTGTTGTTTTTTTCATAGGTGCTATCATAGGTACATTTGTTTCCACAACGGTGCTACCATACATGTATGTGCTATCACAGGTACATGTGTTTCTGTATAGGTGCTACCACAGGTACATGTGTTTCTGTATAGGCACTACCATAGGTGCATGTGTTTCCGTATAGGTGCTAACATAGGTGCATGTGTTTCTACCAGCCACCGTCAGTACATCTGGACAAATCCTAACTTGCAAGTTCTCTTATCGCTAGCATCTATCCTTTCTTTGTCTCATGGATGCATGTAGACCGGCCAATTTCACCGGCAAGCCACGCCTCAAGGACGAGGTGGAGATTGAGAGGCAGACACAGGTCAAGCAAGAGGAAGTGCGGAGATACCGCGCCTTCAGGGATGCTGTGATGGAAGCCAGAGAAGAGGATAAACGAGACAGGAATCAGACCAAAGAGAGACAGCTGCAGAAATGCATTGAGCTCCAGGTCAGTAAACATCAATAGCATTACATCGGCTCATTGTCCCCCAGCAACTTTCTTGTCTTTCTTAAAAGTTAGTGAATGATATGAGTTGCAATTTGAATTGTTCAGAAAGAAAGAGCTTTCATTGATGTGATAATCTAAATATGCATTGTTTGTCTCTCTTTCTCACCTGAACAGACTTCCTTAGATGAGCGCCGTCTTCAGATCAATGAGCCTCGGGAGGCTTTCCGTCAGAAATTCCTGGAGGCCGAGAGGAAACGTCTGGAAGAGATTGCCGCGGCTGAGGCGGCGCTGAAAGCCGAGCAGGAGAGGAAGAGATCGCCGTCTCCGAAGGGTCGCAAAAGCCCCAAGGGCAAGAAAAGTCCTAATAAAAAGGGAGGAAAGAGTGCCAAAGGAAAGAAAAAGTAGATGTTACAGCATTCAGAGGGGAAGAAACACAGATAAACACCTGTTGACTGTTTCCTTAGTAACCCGCAAGACCTCTCTAGGACGTCTAACCTGTTCCGTCCAGTATACTTTATGTGAAGATTACAATTTGGCAAACAGTCTTTTGGAAGCCAAACAAAGTGGTTATGAAATGTTAAGTATTTTAACTGGCATTCCAAAAATAATTCCAGATACAAAGTGTGTGAATTTATTCTGTTCTTTTGTCTATATATATTATATATACATACCAGTGAACCAGTCTTGCGTATTCTTGTATGTATTTGTTTTATACAACAAAATTTGTTATTACGAAAAAGTCAGTTGGAAAGTCTGAAATTATAACTATAACTATTGAACATAGGCAAAAAACATTCTACGAATAGAAGACTCAATATCATACTGTTTGGGTTGAAATAAAAAAACCATCCCTTTGCACATGGTACAGTCCAACCACCCCAGGAAGATTTGGACTGGTCCAGTGAAGTCATGTTTCTGTATTGTTCAGTGTCCTTTCTTATTCGTGCTCAGTGTTGCATCCTGACCATGAATCCCTAATTCATGCCAGATATGTGGCATTTACATGAATCATTTCTTTACAAAGGATAAAGGTTCTACACTCTACCCGGTCAAAACCGTGAGACAGCTCCAAACATTAGGAGGGTGTGGTCCACAGTACACTCAGACATTGAGAAGCTGGAAACAAATTGGTGGTTTGCTTGCCGATAAGAGTTGGCCCACCAAAATAAAGTAAGTTGGGTCTTCTTTTTCAGTGGGCAACGTATTTGTATTTATACCTGTAGATGTATTTGTCGCCACTGCCTTGAGTTTTCTGAGACTAGTGACAATATTGTGCCCCACTTACTGTGCCTCTTGGCAGAATCAATCTGCAGTATGTACATTGTAATTCAGAGAAAATGTTTGAAATGAGAATTTCATGTTTGGGAAGCTGTATTTCTGTTTCTTTCATGCCAAATGTTGTAACTCAAAGCACGACTGCATCCAGAATGAATTTCAGCATAACACCATTTTCACAAGGAAACGGTGTTGTTAAAAGGAGCCAAGACCAAGTCAGGGCATGAATTTTTGTTGTAAATTAACATGTAATATTGAAGAAACTGTACACAGTGTTAATTACATGCTGTTTCTATTCCGTCCCGTTTTGTATTTCCAATTTTTTTCTCTCCTCTTATTTTCTCTCAAGGCAATGTTTACATTTTCTCTAATAGAGGGCCTTACGTGGAGCACCTTCACAGAGGACAGGTCTTTGTTCTTATAGTATTTTTTGTCATCTAAATTTAAATAAAAAAACATGTGCTCTGTGAGGGCGCTCCACGCAGGCCCTCTATTGTAAACAGATCAGTTTTGATCTGTTTTAAGACTCACTGGATTGTGGTTTATGTTCTTTTAGGATTGATAAGCATTAATTTATACAGCACTCGGCACTGAAAGAGTGAAGTTTCCTTTTGTAACAGTTTTAAGCAAAGCCTCTAACTTTACAGTTTCGTCTGTGTGAATAAAATAAAGCTGAACAACATCGGAAATAATTAAGATTCGATCATTTCTAAACCTTTCCCCTTATCACTGTTTCCTTTCCGCCGAAATTAAGTACATCATTAATTTTTGAGAGTACAAACGTGTTTCACATGAATCTCATTTTAGGGGAAGTTGATGAGACCACACCAGCTATGTCATAATTTTTTTCTCAAAAAACTATGCTACTTGCAACCTTTAGTGGGATATCTCCGGAGCCATGGGAGCTCACATTTTGAATAGTTGCCTCGCTCGGTTCGTTGAAGAGGTTCGACTGACTTTGTTTGCAGTCCATTTCAAAATGTCCGGCAACCTTTAATGACATTACTCAGCAGGTGTGCCTTTTTAATTACAAAGTGAACGCGAATGCTCCAGAATTCAATGGACGTCCAAGGATCATCCATGTATTTTAAGAATGGGTTTATCAACCGACCGGCTAGTTTCACAACACTTTAACGGAAAATCGTGCAAACCTATCACAGTTCAGTTTACAGACACTTTGTCATCCCTCTTTAAAGAGATATTACCTTTTTTTTCAAGATGTATTTTTTTTTACCTTGCTTTCATGTTGAGGTTGCTCTGTTTTTAAAATTTATGCCTTGTTATCAAAATTAAGTGGTCGAACCTGGGTTTTTGGAAAACTGTACAGAAAAAAGTTAAACCTCATAGTTTTGTTTATGGTAACCAAATTATTTCTTCCTACCCGCTTCGGCTCCAACCTCGGTTGATCATCTGTCGCCTCTCGAAGCATGATGGATGACAGGAAACAATTGTGGCCGGCCTCGTGGTCGAAAGCATCACGTCTCCAACTTTCCATTAGGTGGGTTGGTCGAAATTGGCGGTTGCCGACTTGCCGACCTGCCGCCAAGGCAACACCCTGTAAACAGGAAAAAAAGTACCAAAACACCCGCGCGCGCTTCTTTGCTCGCCGCTGTTGGCCAGTGTCGAAATGTGCCGCACTTTGTTTCTTGTCAGAGAAAGTAAATATCAATCAGGCAAATTAGCTGCGGCATTTGCATTAAAAACCGCTCGCAATTCGCTGACGATGCCTTCCGCCATTGCAGGAATGCAGCATGAACGTACGTGACAGGACAAAACGGAACAAACGTTGAAAACAAACTGCCTTACCTGGCCCTAAGTTCAAAACTAACACAAGCAACGACAAAAGTCAGACTCACCGCAAAAATTCCAAGTGCTTTCTCCACTTGAAGCACCGGTTGCGTAACCCAGGTACCTAATAGCGATCGGGGATGGGTCCGGTTCGGTTCTTTCCATGAAGGGAGTTTCCTCACCACGCCTGCCAACCTTGATCAAGCCGTTCCCGTTACCCCAGTCGATCCAGAAACCACGCGATTCCGTCGGGCTCAAAATGTCCGCAATCGCAACAGGCATGACCCAAGACGAACACGACGACTGACAACGTTGGACCTCAGACTTCCCAGTTTCTGCTTTTCCTATCACTAGCGAAGTCCAGAATTAAAGAAAAAATATCAATGCAAGCATTCAAGAAAGGATGGTCTTCCACTTTGGCCTACCGGGAGCTTATACCAGCCCCCTCCCCGAAATGTGTTAATACAGGTTTAGTTGATAAAAGTTGATAAGTGGGCTTTCAATAATGTACATTGTTCTAATATACAGCAAGCAAACTTGATCTCACATTCTCAATAAGTTTTCCCCCCTTAATTTAGATGCAGGTTGAAATTTTTTTTTTCATAGTGACAGAACATGCACTGACGGAGCAGGATGGATGGGCCCAGTGCGTCCTTTCTTAACCTAAGGCCCTACGCGTACACGGGTATTATGTTCGTTTTTTATCGACTTCAGCAAAATATTGAACACTGTGTATTAAATGTGGTTCATATCATTAACACTCAGATTGGGGAGGTTACAAGTTAAGGATACCGGTAGTGAAATGGTTGGCATTTTAAGTTTGCCTCCTTGATAATAGACCCACCTATTTTATACATGACAGGATCCACGCCCAGTGAGGAGGGTGACAGACCAATGATGGCCTCTTTGTCAGTTTTCACTGTGAACGCCACCCGGTTTAAGCTGGTGACCTCGCGGTCGAACTCGAGGTGTGTGTGGCTTGGTTTCAGTCGTCTTTGGCAATCGTCTACATGCAGAAAGCAGAAGAGAAACTCTTGCTGCACTCCTCTGTAAAACTGCACTTTGAAAATATACTTTTCATTAATTTTTAATTCCAAGACCTAGGCCTACCGCAGTTAGGCTGCGCATCAGAGTGCAGTGATGAACATGACGTATCTAGCTAGGTGGAGTTTTGTTTGCGCATTATGTACAAAATGTGTATTTTTATTGAAGTGTGTTTTTCCTATGGAAGTTAATCTATGATCAGTATCGTAAATATGCCCTATTTTAATTAATTAATCTTAAATTGAACAGTTTATACATTTTGATTGATGGAAATATATAGGTGAAACTGATCTAAATTATTTATGATTTTAGACCACAATTTTTTCTCAGAATTTGAAATGTTAAAAAATGCGTCGGTTAAATGAATTTGAATAGTTGAAATAGTTTAAATCATTCTTAAAATGACCAGGGGGCTTTTGTTTGAATAAGATTGATCATTTTATGACAAAAACGAATCTTTCCGGTTGAATAAGCACAAAAATCATGCAATTTTTCATTTTAAAACAATTATTTCAAATCAAAAAGTTACATCAACTACGTCCGCAATAAAACTATAACTTTGTCCCGCGAAAATGACGCGCATAAATTAATAGATTCTTCAGTCGTCAACTTGTGTTCAACTTTGCGCAATGGCAGGTTCTCCAAAGAAAGCTGCTTCTCCGAAGCAATCCCAGTCACCGACGAGGTCTCAGTCACCGACCAAGAGGGCCAAGTCGTCTCCCAAGAAGTCCCCGAAGAAGCGTGCCAGGTCCCCCAGCAGGAAGGCCAAGCGTGCGGCTCACCCTCCCGCTAGCAAGATGGTCGTTTCTGCGATTGCTGCCATGAAAGATCGCCGTGGCTCGTCTGCTCAAGGCATCAAGAAGTACATCGCCGCCAACTTCAAGGTGGACCCG